CCTTTAGGAATAAATCTACTCTGCTTGTGAAATGCTAAGAGCAACAGAGACGCTTGCAGCCTGGCTTTAAAAAAAAAAGCGGTTTGATTTTTTATTATTATTATTATTATTATTATTATTATTATTTTCCTAGAAACGTAAACAAGCAACGCTTAGCCTGGCATCGGGGCTAGTAAAGCATGGCGGGCCGCCAGGCTTATAATACACTGGGGGAAACCCTGTGGTTCAAAGTTTAGGAAAAAAGTAGTCGGAAAAAATCTAAATGCTCTCTGGTGTTGTTCAGGGGGCCGGACCAAATGTGGAGGCGGCCGGATGCGGGCCATAGTTTGGGGACCACTGGTCTACAGGCAGTGGAATTAAAGAAATAACTAATTGTCCCAATGTTATCCCCTTAAGCAGGAGGTTGATCCAATTCATTTCGCAGGAGGCGTACCATACACTGACGGGTTTATAATGTTCAGACTTATTATATAGTGTTTTGCATTGTAATCTGTACTCTTAACTTTATTTTTTAATGCAAGTTTTCAGCCAACTCCACTGAACAAAAACACCTGCTGTTTTACACCTGCTGTTGAATTTCTGTTGTAGGCCTAATTAATGTTTTATAGAATATTACACCTTTTATAAGTATAGAGAAAATTCATCCACACACAAAAAGCAACACCTGTATTCTCAAATATTCTAAAAATCCTGTCATAGACCTCCTATTTTAACCTATAAAGTTTAAGTTTTGAAACTTTTTCTCACTATCTTAAATGTGATTAATGAAACAGCTGAAGTGATTCTTACAGGAGATGAGAGAAATTTCAATCTGAGTGAGGATGTGTTGACAATAATGATTTTTGTGAAAATGTCTTCTATGGACTGTGATTGGTTTTTCATCTGCTTCTTGCTTTAAGACTTCTGGCTAATAATTTAAACGAGTATTTCCATAATCAACTGTGAAGAAGTATGGACAAAATTTTGCCAAAATATAAAAAAACACATGTCATATATATTACTCCATCTTAAAAATATAATAAAAATATAATATAATAATCCCTCCACAAAGGAATGACTTCTTCTTCCACTCTTCTCTTACTACTTCCTTTGGGGGAAAGTTGAGGTGTGAAAAGGTCGTCCATTACGTCTGCTGTTAACGGCTGGGGTTCGTGGCAAAACAACTTTCGAAAACTGAAGCAGCATCCAGAACTCCCAGTGTCTTCAGTCCTTCTGTAAACCTGTATAAAGTTAATCAAGAACAAATCTACTCATAGTGTCTCACTAATTGCAATAATTGAAATATCAGAAGAAAACTCTGAAACCTCTGAAAAGATCCCTGGACCCGATGTACAACATGAAACATCAGCAAATCATGCACGAGAAGATCTCCATCGCTGATTGCTGTTAAGCGTCTGACGCGACCTGCGCTGGCCATGTAATCCAAAAGAGGATCTGTGGCTTTTTGAAGCTCCTCCAGAGTACAACTGTCAGATACCTAATAAGATTTACCACAAAAGGAAAAAGACAAACAAATAGGGACACCACAATCTTATTTAATTTCAAGAAATACTCCCCCCTCCCCTTCACCAAGAACTTTACTCACTATAACTATCATTCATAAATCTTATGAATCAAAAGTAATATAATTTGTGAGTGCATTAACCTTTTTCGGTTTTGCAAGGAGGTCTGCATCACTTATGTCATTTAAAGTAAGCAAGCTGCATTTGGACCTCCAACCAAGCCAGCAAAAAGTACTGGAGAAAGAAAGTGAGGTGCTGGGCGTCCATGGACAAGGCTAGCAGCTACTGCCCTTCCAGCCATGAAATATGTGTCCTTCCTGAGGGCTGCATGGAAAATATTTTTTTTATTCAAATAAATTTTAAGACATATGATTTTGAAATAAATACTAGGAGCAAAAGAATCCACACAAACCTGCACTGTTCATTGCTAAGTTTTTTCTTCCATCTGGGCCTTCAAACATCGGAGACACAGACAATGTCTCCGATGTCTCTTCAATGAAAAGACGCAGAAATTTTCTCCGTGGGCCACCCAAGTCCTCTGCCTCTTCATGTTTTCCAAAGTCATCGGAAAATTTCACATTCATTGAGTAGTGTGGATTGTTAGTCGCCCTCTTAAATCCCCGTATGGCACCATCCAACACTGCAGATTGACTGATATTAAATTTGCTGTGCATTCCAGTGTTGATACTTTTGGACAACTCCTCAAGAATGTCTTTTGCAGGCAAACTATTTGAAGAAGTTTCAGACCTGAAAAGTGAAAAAACATTAAGATAGGTGACTTCTTTGAACTATTCTCCAAAAAATTATGAAAGCCAAAACCACATTTACGAAATGTATTATACTATAATGCAACACCTTTTTAAAGTTTTCAACTTATCATACTCTAAATTACCAAGCTGCAAGAGAAAGAATACAGAAATAATTTCTTAAATAGATACAAGTGAGTTTCAATACTGGCCAACATGGCATGATTCATTTCCTCATCCTCAGAAGACGGATCAGAAACTTTACACATCACTGACAAACAAGTTGAGTAGTTGCCAGATGCTGTGTGCTCGTCTTGACAGAGTTCATTGGAAACAGAGGGGTTGAAGTCTGTAGCAGATGAACTGGAGCTGATAGGTGTAGGGTGCACAATGGCAGATGACTGACTTGCATTTTCAACAGAAGGCAGATTGCTGGTATAAGATGGGTCATGGTTGAATGTGTCTCTCCCAGCAATACTTCATCTGCACTCTCCAAAACACTGCAGAAGATGGTCTCTAGTGTGTTCAGGTGTCTACGTCTTGTGGCTCTGGTAGACCGTGTAGTTTCACTGCTTACTTCAGGAGGATCCTTTAAGACTTAGCAAAGTCAACACATTTCATTTGGAAAACAACATGTACAAGTCATAATTTCTTTCTCTCAAAAAACATGTTTATGAGATAATATGGTTACATTTATTTATGAACTATCAATATGGCAATCAATACATTAAACCCAAATCATGTAGCAAATGGTGCTCTAGATCAAAAATGTTGCCTGTTTTCAAAAAATATCCAGAGATGCTAGCAAATGCGTATAATAATGAATATAAAATAAAGTATTTGTGTACAGAGACAAAACCACAGTAATAAATTTAAACACAAAAACTTACAAGAAGTGTTTCTGGTGGTCTGACATACAGAGTCTTTGATTTAAAGACCTTTTGAATCAGCTGACCATTGAGTTGTTAACCATATTGCAATTTTGGATAGATCAGTTTCTTTCTGCACCCCATGAGGATTTAAAGGCTAAATAATTTTATTTTTAATTAAATTATCCTTATTTGAACGAAGTACTTGAAATACACTAACAGAATACAATAATATAAACATAGGCTTACCTGACATTTTGAGGAATTGTAGAGCCAAAGCCCTCTCTGATTTGATGGATCACCATTTGAAAGTCCCAAGACTTATGGAACTCAAAAGCACTCAGTATGTGACCATTCTCATGCAAGTATTGCTTGAAAGGTGGCTTGCAAATCACTTCGCAAGTAGGATTTGGAAGGAGTATTACTACTTTGTTAAAGCATTCGTGGTATGGGACACCTCTGGGTCTGAGAAACAAGGAAAGTATAAACTGTACTTAACAGGTGACAAACCCCAATGTCACAAAAAGATACTAAAGATGTTATGCAGAGCATGAGCGTTGCATAACAGTCTTAATAAAGACTGAAAATCTTTTTTTTATATACTTATTGTTCATGCAAGGTCTAGGAACCCCCGAGCTTGGTCCTGCCATGAAACAGGAGAGGAAGTGAGGAGCAGGATGTGAGGTGGCAGTGGTGAGGCGAGTGAATAAAAATTACAGAATTTATTTTGAAAACTATATCTGTACCGCTTCAAAACCAACAAAGTAATAATAAAAACAATTATTTACCTTGACAATCTGGTGGCACCGGCACCGCAGAACTTTCTCTGGCCGCTCCAGAACGAAACAGAGATGACAGTTCTGCATCCCCTGTGCCACTGCGGGCAGTTGTAGAATTGTTTAAGGCGCTAGGTACTAGTTGCCTCTGGAGAAGATAGGATGGTGTTTAAAATGGCAGCTGCCTGACCAATTCTGTCTCGTTTTAAACTAGAGTTAGCCATGTTCGGTATGGCGAACTCTTTCTTCTTTGGCACTAATTGTACCTGGTTGATAATTCCAGTAATGGTAGTACTTAGTGGACAGACTGTACTACAGCGATTTTGATCAAGCAATCAGATTTATTTATTTCTATAGCACATTTCAGCAACAAGAAAGTTCAAAGTGCTTTATAGAACTAAAAACAAAAATATACTAAGTCATAGAACATACAGTGAGTCAACAATCAAAGGTTATAGTTTAGGATCAATGTTTGTGCAATTTGATAAAAAAAATATGCCCTGCCTCTTCCGTGACAATTCTCACACATTCAAAAAATGAGTCTCTCTCTAACACATAGATAAAATGAATCTCTCTGTCACACGTACAAAAAAACGACTCTTAGTATTGTGTGTGTGTGTGTGTGTGTGTGCAGCTTTAGTCTTGTGTGTGCGTCAAAGAAACATTGTGTACGTGTGCGACATGTTAGTGGTGTGTATGCGGCGCGCAATTTTGGGATTTTGTGTATGCTTGTGGGAGAAAATTTGTGTGTGTGTGACATTTTAGTAGTGTGTATGCGCAATTTGAGTATTTTTTGAGTGTGCATGAGTCTTTAGTAGTGTGTGAGAGACCAAACATAGTTTTTGTCCTCAACGGCTCCTCATACTTTCGAATTATTATTTACCTTAAAGTACTGGAGCATATGCTTTTGAAAATACTTAAGTATTGAGTGCTTTTAAAAAATTGACATTTAACATTACATTTCTCTTCAGTGTAGTTGAGAATAATTGGGAAAATGTTATGCTATTTTGGAAAGATCCAAAAGGCTGAGACTCTCAAAGACACTTTACATTTTCATGCATTATTTATTCTGTCCTCACTCACATTCCACACAAGTATAAATTCTCAAAGGCTGTAGTTAGGTACAGTAATCACGTACATTTTATTTACATTTTATTGGTTACCATCATATCATTACAGCTTTACTCACATCACTGTACGTTTTTTTCAGCTGTCTGAGAATTTGTCATATTCACAAATTTGAGTTCAAACAGTTACTACGGATAACGAGCAGGACTTAAGAGAGATGTATGAATGACACCTAGTTAAATTCTCTGCATGTATGGGATAGTTTTTGATTGTATATTTGAAAAATTCAAAGGATATCTGGTAGTATTTAATCTTGAAATGCACATCCATATCCTGTAGAATAACAAACTTCATTTGTGTATGACAAGTTTGGACAGCACACCTTAAATATGCTTGTCTAGACTCCTAAGGAGAGGAGGAATATTTGCATTCCAGTCATCATACAAACTGGGATCACTAAAAACAGAGAAATGCTGCTTGAGTACACAAGTTTGTCTTCCGATCGCAAACAGCTGCAGGCGAGGTGAGCCTACAGCTGCTTATCTATAGACATAATGCAGCATAGAACTGCACAAAAAAATGTTTTGGATTTGTACTAAAATCTTTTATTGTTTATACAATAATAATAATAATAATAATAATAATAATAATAATAATAATAGTAGTAGTAAAATGTCGCATCCGTATACACATGATGTATAAAATGATTGGGGAAGTTGCAATGACTTACAATTTAGTTAAAATAAAATTTAAAAAAAATACAAAATAAAAAAATTTACTAAAAATAACATTTAAAAATGTAAACATATTTTCACTGGAATAAACAACATACATAACATTACAAAAAAAATAAAAAATATGTAAATTAAAAAATCAAAAAATATAATCAAATTGTTTAAACAAAACAAACAAGGAAATTAAAAATAAATGCAAATAATTTAATCCAATTTATACAGAGAAATTTATGGGTGGAATGTAATTACTACATAGTTACATTTTTATTAATAGGTGGAGGAATTTGCATAAAAGTATTTAATTCTCCTGTTATGCAACCAAATGGTAATCTTGCCAAAATCTGATAAAATTCTAACTTTATTCTGGTAATATTATGTCTCTGTTCTCAAAATAATAATACAAAAATGTTTAGTCTTGCTTTAATACTCTGCCATTCTTTTCAGATGACTTTTAGTTTTAAAAAAGAATCATTTCATAACAATTTTGCCACTTTGTGTTGGTCTTCCTGACCTGCTGCTTGTGGTGGCAGCAGGACCAGAAGAAGCGCAGACATTTGCACCATGTGCTGTAAGTTAAACCGGATTGATGTGACTGTAGCGCCAGCTCTGGAAATCTATTTCTATTGGTAAATAATGTTTTAGTCTAAGAACTCTGCAGTACATTTCTCTCTATTGCAGTCCATGAAAAAAGTCTGATTGACGTGGCGGCTCCACTGATTAATGCTCAGACTCTTGAAGCTGCCAAACACAGCGCAGCCCTCTAAGAAACTATGTGTGTGGTACTAATTACACTCAGTCTGTCTACAAAACAGCTTCACCATTTTTCACCTGCCTAACATGCATACCAGCCTGACACGCACAGCCAACCATCACCGGAGTGTCTTCTCTTTTCTCCTCCCGGTCTTCTCCCTGTTTTGTGTGTGTGTGCATGTGGGTGCGTGTGTGTTTTATTGACACTCTACTGATGGAGGGATGTCCATCTGATCCTCCTGCTGTCTTGGGTGTCCCTCAGCGTCGCTCACAACACATCCGTCATCCTAAAGCTGCCCTGCAGCCTCAAAACACACTCACACACACCACCAGCAGTCATACACAACTGCACAGATAAAATCACTCATCTTAACAC